AGAGTATCTTATTTTTTCTTTTAATCTTTTGTCTGCAGAATGTCAACAAGAGTCCTTTTGGCTACTCTTTCAATACCAATAACTCCTGAACGAACTGACATTGCTCGACTTTTGGACATGGATGGTATAATTGTTGAAAAACAGAGGCGACTGGCAACACTGTTGGGCCTTCAAGCCCCACCTACTCGAATTACTCTTATTAATGATATGGTGGGTAGAATTGTGTTAAAAGTTTAGAAAGTTGGCATCCTTTATTTAAATTTTATAAGTATGCAAACTTTTTTTTCAAATTTAGGTCAAAACATCAGGATAAGTTGACATCCTTGATTGAAAGACACGTTAGTAGAACTTAGAGAAGATATTTAGAATTATTTAATGAATACATAATGCTAATGAAAGCTCATTATTTAATTCATCACTTCACAAATATTGTTTCCTGCAACACTTGTGTGCCTTGAGTTTATCAGCAGTTAAAAATCTGTAATTGTATGCATCTATAAGATAGGGAGGATTGTGGAAAGCTGAGAGCTGCATTAGCCCACCAGGAGATCTTGAAGGGCCATACCTCTCTCATCAGACCAATTATTCCAGTAATTACAACAAGAACAAGAATTTCACTCCTAAACACATGTTAGATCATATGTGTCAAATGCAAGGCCCGTGCTCCAGATTTGTCATTTTAGGTGGCCCATGAGGCTTTCGATTCCAGGGTAACATATTTACATGGTTACAGCCTTACAATTACAAATGACCCTTTGAAGGTAACAGTAAGGGTGATATGGCCCTTGGTGAAAAGGAGTGACATCCCTGTGCTAAATGATAGGAGGACATTTTTACATGTTTTGAGGCTTTCTTGAGCTGTTTTAAACTTATGAGAGGCACTTTCCACAATAGGAAGTGATCAGAACATTTTTGGAATTTTTTTTAACCCTTATGACCCTCATGGGCATCCAGACATCATATAAATGTTTGCCATGTCCTCTGGAGGGCATTTGGAGGCATTCTGAATTTTAAAAATTGTTATGATTCACAGAGGTCCCGAGAGTGATTTGAGGTGCATGGGATTCACTTCGGCTATCTTTCATTTGCAAGGAATATAGTTGTTGTGTTTGGTTTTCCTGTCCCATATTATCTAAGCTACAAAGGTTGCATTGAAGCTACAGCATTATATGAAGATATATCCCCTATGAACATTACTTGCAAATATAGTTTGTTCCTTAATATAATATTTTTGTGTCATAATGTTACCTATTTTGAATTATGAACATCATTTGTGTATTCTTCGTTTACACAAATTTGTTAGAATGTTTGCTAGTGTCCCAACTTGTCTAATTAGTGTTTCAAGATTTATAATTTCTTCTAGGTGAGGTTCAATGTAGTACAGCATGTTGTCCCAGATGTAAAGGAGCTTTATAACTGGCTTGAAGTAGATTTTCATCCACTGAAGTTGTCTGGCCGTGTTAGTAAGGTAAGTACTGAAGTTTTCAGAAATACAGAAGTTTGTGCAAGTGCCAGTGAAAAAAATTGGCCTATTGCAAATATGTGTAGTTTCTTTTTTTAAACAGTAGGTTGTCTTAGGTATTCTGTGAGGTTTTTTCAATGTTTCCTGCTTGTTTAATGCAGGTGTTCTTACGCCTATCATGTTTCATTGAAGTTCCAATTTCTGTGGAAATGATTGTAAACCTTTTTGTACAAAAACTGTTGTCTGAATGCTGACAACTTTCCAACTGTATCTTTCTTTGAGTTCATAGTTTACTTTAGATTACTGGCTGAATTAAAATGTTGGGTGAATTTCTACTGATTAAATTTAAAAATTAAGCTCTACCTGTGTAGCTCCTCCCCTTTAGTTTTTATTCACTGGGCTTGGAGAAATGACATAGGAAAGAAAGTAAATGCCTGATATTGTATTTTAAGTGACCAATAGAGGCTTAGAGATAGTATTGTAGAGATAGAAAATAGAATAACTACTTCCATTGTGGGGCTGCAGTGGTGCAGTGGGTTAAACTGCTAAGCTGCAGAAGGTTGGTGGTTTGAATCCAAGGGATAGCATGAGCTGCTGTTGCTCAGCTTCTGTCAACCTAGCAGTTCGAAAACATGCAAACGTGAATAGATCAATAGTTACCGTTTTGGCAGGAAGGTAACGGCTCTCCTTGCATTCATGCCAGCCACATGACCTAGGAGGTGTCTATGAGCAATACTGGCTCTTTGGCTTAGAAATAAAGATGAGCACCACCTCTCAGAGTCAGACTCGAATAGACTTAATGTCAAGGGGAAATGTTTACCTTCCAATGCAGCCCTGCATCAGAAGTCCCATATATTTAGGAGCTGACTTCCTAATACATTCATTCAGCATTGTAATTTTACTGGAAATAATTCATTTGAGTTGTACAAGTGAAGCATGTTTTCTTTTATGTAATAGCTGTAGAAAGAAAGGTGATATTGTTGTACTAGATCGGCAGGGTAGCAAACGTCGCCATCTCTGTTACTGCATTCAAACAAAATGTAACTTTATCTGCACATTATAGAATTTGGAAAAATGCATTAGTGTTGAAGTTAAAAAAATGTTTTGTGGCTTTTATCACTAAAATTAACAGCTATTATACAGTACGTGGGAGAACCTTGTATTGAAAACATTTAACTGTATTAAATTTTGCTTGATTGAGCTTGCCTGTATAGAATTATAATTTGCTGAGTTAGAAGCTTAAATCTTTCAGAGCAAACATCAGAAACAGAAAAAAATGTTTCTTGTTTTTCTGAAGTTGAGTTAGTCAAGATTTAAACATTTCCAAATAGTTCTTGGTGCTGGAGAAGAGAGGGATACAGTATGTTAAAGATAAAGTGTTGTTTTGAAATAAATGTTTCAGTCTCTAAATTGTTCTGTACAGGTTTTAAACTGGATAAGAGACCAATCTGAAAAGGAACCGGAACTGCAACTCTATATTCCACATCTGCAAAATAACACCATCCTCAGACTGCTGCAGCAGGTAATGTTATACAATATTAGACTATAATATATTGTACTGTTGAAGTGAATCTTTATGAATTCTTGAATCTGTCAAAGATTGAAGTGCCTTGCAAGTCTTTTGCTACTGTATCTCGTATTTTTGAAGAACCAGTTAATGAAAAATCCAGGGAGCATTTTAATTCTTGAATCTGTCAAATATTGAAGTGCCTTGAGATTGTTTTTCTCCTGTATCTCATATCTTTGAAGAACCAGACAACGAAAGATTCAGGGGGCATTTTGACTGCAGAGGTACGGCGTTCATTAATTTACTAGAGTTTACTTCAGTTTTCTCCAGTTGCATGGGATATCTTCTAAGTTCATATAGCATCATATGAAGCATAGCTGTCCCAGACTGCTTTTGGTTATATTGCAACTCCCACCTGTTAAAATAGATCAGTGGTTCCCAACCTGTGGTCCATGGACCACCAGTGGTCCGCAAGAACTCAAATATGGTCTGTGGCCTCATAGTTACTACGAGAGCGACTGGTCTCGTGAAACCCCCTTTTAGTGCCGAGGCTTATTAAATATAGTTTTCTGTGGGTGAGCCGATGGTGACTACTAGATGGCATATGTTCTGTATCAGAAACTAGAACTGGTCTGGTCTATTGAATGCCATTTTCTGAATCAGCACCCCAAATCTGAATTGATCAAAAACTGATTCTTAACCCCTTTGGTACTAATGTTGGAGAGTGGTCCCTGGTCAAAGTGGTCCCTGGTCAAAAAAAGGTTGGGAACCACTGAAATAGATGGTATAATGCATGAGGCAAACCATGCACTTCATGATTTATAGGGGCAGAGATTTGAATGTGGAGGACAAGAACGAACCAGTGGTGTGTGTGTACACATTTTTTGAATGTAGTGATGATGTGAGTGCATAGATGGTAAATTAGTGGCAGAGAGATCATTAAGGGTTGCTCTAACATTGCTATGAACTCCTCAATCTCTCTTTCACAAAGAATGTAGATTAGCCTACATCACATAATGCCATGACCCATTATACTGGCATTTCTCGCCTCATTAGGAAAGTCTCACAGATGTGGTATGTAGCTGCCCTGTCTTCCCTGTAATTAAAATGTGTTCTTTTAGTCAGAGCAGTGCTGTGGGAGCAGCCCTGAGCAAGCAGAAGCCATGCCATGCTTCTTTGCATTATATAGCAAAGGGGAACAATTTTGGCAAAGTGATTTTTCATATTTGTAACTGAATGCAAGAAGCGGGGTAGTGCAGTTTCTCATTAGGTAGCGCTCACCCACAAATTTACAGCTATTCACTGTATTGTCTGTACAGATCCAGCTCATATATGCATAGTATGCACATGGTTGTCATTAATAGTCCATTAATAATTAGTACATATGCATACCGATAACATAGAACTATACAGAAGTTGAGGGAGGGGTTATGATGCATGTTTAGCAACATAGGTTAGTTCAGCAAATCCACTTTTCTTTCCTTGTGTGTTATCTAAATAGTGATTCTAATAGCTGACATAAAAAGTATAATCCCATATAGTAAGGGGTTTTGTTGAGTATAAGATGATAAATTCTTTATTTTGACCATGTCCTAACATATTGCATCTATGCATGGTTTGTTAACTGCACAGTGGCAGATAGGAAGGCATTCCAAAAGGTCATCACTTCTGCACAGAGAATCATTGGTTGCCCTCTCCCCTCTTTAAAAGAACTTTATAAGTCTCATTGCTTCAAGAAAGCTCAGTTCTTGGGGCTCCATCTCACCCAGCATATTCATTTTTTAATTATTGCCATCTGGCAGGCGGTACAGGGTGACAAAGACAAGGATAAACAGACAGAGTTAGCTTTTATCTTAGAGTTGCGGCTATGTTGAACTCCATGGTTTCACATTGATGTGGCATTGGGAGCTGTGTGGTGGTGGTTGGGGTGTGGCGGGATAAGTGTGTTGTTGGGAAGGCATTTCATTTCATTGTGCAATAGTACAATTGCAATAAAGTTATTATATTTAGTGATTTTCAGTTTTTCCCCAAATGCACATATCATTGACCTGCTTCCTTTGCGTTGGCAAGCAGTGTTATTTCTGATGTGCTAAAGGAATGTCTGAAGGCTAATTAGCAGCTTCGCTTCATTTAGTGTTGCTGCCAGTCTCCTTCATACAAGCAGTTCTTGACTATACTGTTAGCAAATACTGTGTTCCTCAGGTGTAAATAAGTATTGATGCAAACCCTGCTGATTAATGTGGGTGAACACTATACAAAAACCAGAACAAACACAGCCCACATTATGATTGATTGAAAATCATTAAATGTTTATGTATTCTACAGGTGGCCCAAATTTATCAAAGCATTGAATTTTCTCGGCTGACAACTCTAGTTCCTTTTGTTGATGCTTTCCAACTGGAACGGGCAATAGTAGATGCAGCTAGACATTGTGATTTGCAGGTAAGTACCATTAAAAAGTATTAAACTTACAGCACATTAATATCTTCAAGTGATCATGAACCCAATTAACCCAAAACATGAGAACTTTCATTACTTTTTGTGAACAGTTTCTGTTTTCTTGCAAAATAGTAGATTCTTGTTCGAAATCATACTGACAGTATAATTGGAACATGGAGTGTCTCAACTTTTAGTGATGGCTGTAATTAGGTAGTAGATTTTAAAGCATTTTTTATGCAAGTAAATTAGAAAATTATAGAAAGCAAGTTCTGTCATGGAGAAACTGTTCCTGCTGTGTGTGAGAAAAAGAGAATCTTTGAATTATGAAGAAAATGAAATGTATTTTTCCCTTTAAAATTATTTTTGATTTAAAATTAATGATTTGACTCAGTTTCTTTATCCAAAAGACAGCTCTAGTATAAATGAATTTTTATATATGTAACTTTAATTGTATGTTTTACCTTCTACTTACTTTATTTGAGAACTATTTCTATGCTCTGTCTCACATTCAGTACTAATATACAAGAAGAGTCAGGGTTTGTAAAAGGAGCTGTAAAAGATCTGTGAAAATTAATTAATTTGAATAGTCTGTCCACCCATGATGAGACATTGAACTTTGCTATTGGCTATTGGTTTTGATGTTCATTCTATATACTGTTTAATGTTGTTTTTATTTCATTATATTGTGTTTTATTATTTTGTTGATATGATTGTTCTGTTGGGCTTGGCCCCATGTAAGCCACCCCAAGTCCCTTTGGGGAGATGGAGGCGGGTCATAAAAACTAAGTTATTATTAATATATTTAATCAAGAATTAATAATTGTTTGCTGAATTACTTTACGTTTAATTTTAAAAGGTCCGCATTGATCATACTACCCGAACACTGAGTTTTGGGTCAGATTTGAACTACTGCACTCGGGAAGATGCTCCTCTTGGACCTCAGTTGCAGAATATGCCTTCTGCGCAGATTAGGAACCAACTTACAGCTATGTCATCAGCCCTTGCAAAGGCTCTTGAAGTGATTAAACCACCTCACTTGTTGGTATGTCATAGTGTTTTTATGTTTTTTCTTAATGGTTTTCAGTATGTGTTTAGTAGGCCTTTAGTGTGAAAGAATATTGATTGTTTATAGAAACCTTAAACTATCTTAGTCAGGACTGAAGTTGGGATGGGCAACTGTGGAGGTATTGCAGATCACAATTTATCCCAATATCTCCAACATTCACAGCTCTCACCTAACTGTTTTGACAAAACTAAAAGCGAGCAAGCTGGAGATTATTTCTGGATTTGAACTGAAACCTTGGAAACAATTCCTACCTTTGGGTTAAGTATTTTCCCTCCAATACAAGGGCATCATGCCTGCTGCATTCCTAAAAAAAATTAAGCAATGCATCTTTTTTCATATTCATGTTTCCTTTTGTACCCACATCTTTCATATTGTCACCATTAGTATTGAGCATGTTATGCAACTTCGTTAAAGGTTGCTTGCTTCATATAATTTAGACAAAAAGGGAGTGTGTTTTTAAAACAATACTACATTCTTTAGAGATTATTTCCAGAGCATGTGCTAAGTTTTGTGTGTGTCACAAGCAAAAGAGAAGAGAATGGGAGCATTTTAAAGGAATATCTTAATTTTAAACAAGACTAAAGCAACTCAGCTACGTTAACCTTTTTCAATGTCAGTTCAGATTTCTTAACAATTCACTTTAATCAAAATGATGTAGTACCTGCCTGCAATATATTTCATTGTGTTGTGTTCATCCTTCTCTTTAGTTTGGCACTTTAGTTTCAGATCTGATATAACAGACTTCCCCTTAAACCTGTGGTTCTCATCATGTGGGTCCTCAGGTGTTTTGGCTTTCCAGTTCCCAGAAGTCCTAACAGCTGGTAAACTGGCTGTGATTTCTGGGAGTTGTAGGCCAAAATACCCCGGGGACCCACAGGTTGAGAGCCACTGTCTTAAACCAAAAGCTCTTAAGGTTAATGTCTGTATGTGTTCAGGTTCATTCATATTTTACACTTTGTTACCTGGTGCTAATTCTATTTGTCAGTATTGAAATGATAGGAGCTTTCTCAGACTCTTCTCTGGACTAATTGTATTGAGTAACCTTCCCCCCACCTGCACAGTGAATATTATCCCTATTCATTGCCACTTCAGAGTAATGAAACATTTGTTGTTGTGTTTCAGGTTGTGTTGCAAGTGAGGATTTTAGTTGTCAATTTTTTAAAACAAACTTGAATACATATGGACTCTGCCGATTTTATTGTATACTGTAATGTGACCTGGCAGATGTATTGTAGTGTGTTAAAGGCATTATCACATTTAAAAATACGCAAAAAAGAAAAATATAATAACATAGGATGATATGTGGACTACGCATACAAATTATACCCATATATACTTGAGTATAAGTCAACCCGAATATAAGCCAAGGCACCTAATTTTACCACAAAAAACTGGGAAAATATATTAACTCGAGTATAATACATATAATAATAATAATAATAATAATAATAATAATAATAATAATAATAATAATAGAGTGAAATAATAAATGTAATATAATAAATGTAATAATAATAAACATAATAAAAATAATAATAACAGAGTACAATAATAAATAACTTTGACTCGAGTATAAGCCAAGAGGGGCTTTTTCAGTCTAAAAAAGGGCCGAAAAACTCGGCTTATACTCGAGTATATATAGTAAGTTGGCTATATGGAGATGATTTCTGCTGAATAGACCTACTTACATAGCTAAAAGAATAAGATCTTGTGATTATTGAATAATGGGTGGTGGATATTTTTGCGTTGTCTTGGAAAATGAAGTTTTTAGTTATGGTAGGTACAGTTAATTATATTCCAAGTTAGAGGAAGTACACCTTGGAAGTACATACAGTGGATCTTTCCGTCCGCTGGGGTTTGGTTCCAGCTGCCCACATGGATACCAAAACGTGTGAATGCTCAACACCAATTTGTATATAATGGCATAGTAACATTCTGTTCTTTATGTAAAATTGCAAATAACTCAAACATATGTCAGATTGGGCCTATTGATATGCTTACGTGTCTGCTTAAAACGTGTGTGGCAAAATTAAAGTTTGCTTTTTGAATTTTTGGGGGAATATTTTCAAGTTGAAGTTGGTTGGATCTGTTGATGCAGAACCTGTGGTTGTATGCTTCTTCAAATACGCGCCTTTAAAATAAATTTAGAATTAGTATGTTGCAATATGTCCAGCCGTAAGCAAAGCACCCTTTTTTAAAAAGCCCTTTTTTTGGACACTTCAATCTTAGATCTTTGTTTGTTCTGGTGTAGTTATTCCTGCTGAAAGAGTTTTATCGTACAGGAAATCTTGAATTGTATTCTTGATTTCATTGAATTCAGCAATGTCCTGTTTTTCCTAGTTTCACATTTTAAAGGGCATTGTAATGTATTTTTAATTCTTTTACAGCTGGAGAAGGAAGAACAGCATCAACAGGCTGTTACAGCTTATGCAAAGAATTCAAAGAAAGAGCATCAACGAATTCTTGCTCGCCGTCAGACAATTGAGGAAAGAAAGGAACGCCTTGAAAGCCTCAACATCCAACGCGAAAAAGAAGAGTTGGAACAGCGTGAAGCTGAGCTCCAAAAAGTTCGTAAAGCAGAAGAGGAGAGATTGCGCCAAGAGGCAAAAGAGCGAGAAAAGGAACGCATTCTGCAGGAACATGAGCAAATAAAAAAGAAAACAGTTCGTGAACGTTTGGAGCAGATCAAGAAGACTGAACTTGGAGCCAAAGCATTCAAAGACATTGACATTGAAGTAAGAAACGTGTCATTTTTTTCAATGACATGTTTATTGTTATCCTATAGTGGAGATTCTGTATATTGTTGTCAGCCAGACTTCTAGGAGTCCCAGCTAAAGGCTCATACAGTTCCTGGTGGAAATACTAAGCACATCATACAGTTCCTGGTGGAAATACTAAGCCCCCCCCCCCCCCCACTTTGCCTTACCTTTTCAAGGAAAGAAGAGTGATGCCTAAGAATGCAGCATATTATAGTAATGAGGGGTTTTCAAAGCATGGAGGAAAACTGTAATTAGTTAAGTCATCCATCAGCTCCACTGTCTTCTCTGAATTATGCCTCCTGATATTCCTGCAATTTTCCCAATTTGTTTTGAATACTAAAGTATGTAATGGAGTGCACTAAAGTTCTGAAGATCAAACATTCATATATTGGATAAAGAGGTGTAAAATATTTTAAAATCATAAGGATTTGTGTGTATCGGGCTCAGTGTCACTTTCTAACATCTTAAATTTGATTTTAGGATCTCGAAGAATTGGACCCTGACTTCATTATGGCGAAACAGGTTGAACAGCTAGAAAAAGAAAAGAAAGAATTGCAGGAACGTTTGAAGAATCAAGAGAAGAAGGTATAAGAAAAAAATATGGCATGTTTACTTGCTGAGACCAGGTGGAGAGAATATGGCTCTTGAAATATTTAACATTTAAAATTGAATGATCACAATTTCTTCTTTTTAGATTGATTACTTTGAAAGAGCAAAACGCTTAGAAGAAATCCCACTGATTAAGAGTGCATATGAAGAGCAAAGAGTTAGAGACATGGATCTCTGGGAGCAGCAAGAAGAAGAACGGGTGAGGGTTTTGTGCAAACTTATGAGGTGTTTTGGAAATACTCAGTTTAATGCCTAGACCATTCGTAAAAAGGGCCATGGTGGTGCAGTG